GTAGCCGGGGTTGGCACCACCAAGACAGGATATATAGTTCGATTCAAAGACCCAGAATCGGCCGAAATAGCCCGCAGTAATACTGAGTGGCTGGATCAAACAATGTAAATTAAATGTAGTGGGAGGTGAAGACCTGCATCTCTAATATATAATTCGACTCTCTGGTGGGAAGCACAGTAGCAAGGGCCTGTAACCCGCGAATCATCCTGATAACTGAGTTTCTTACTACTCTCCCACTCCTAGAATTCTTCAATGGTCACACCAGCATGTCGAAAGTGGCCTTGCGCATTGAGTTTACGTGCACCTACGAGGTCCACACACCACTCAAGGAAGACATCGAATCCCTGGCCCGGGTCCCGCGCGTATGCTTGCCAATTACGCCTGATGAACCGCTTTAACTCACCAAAGAACTCCTCAATGGGATTCAAGTCCGGGGAATACGGAGGTAAATAGACTAACTGGAGGTAAATAGACTAACTTAACACCAGCAGCAGAGCACATGGCGTCGAGGCGCTCAGTGTGGTGAAAAGACGCATTATCCATGACAATGACAGACTTAGGCTCGGGCCACTGGCCACAATGCTCGAGTAGCTGCTCGATAAAGTCCTCGAAGAGCGCGGCATCCGTGGAACCCCGGAAGACCCGAGATAAGACAATCCCATCCTGGGCATAAGCTGGAAGAATCTGGTACCGCTGATCGCGTTGGAAATGCGTCACCTGTACTGGCGTGACACCAAGAGGAGACCAGCCGGTTCGACGGAATCCCGCCCTTTTATCACAGCCGGATTCATCCACGTAGACACGGTGATAGGAGCGAAACTCGGATAAATTGTGTAGGTAGAAATCCCGTAGATCGGCATTGCGTTGCTTGGCGATCTGGCGGGATGTTTTCTTGGTCCAATTAATGGACTTCAGCGCTCGGCCTATGCTGTGTACCGTGACCAAAATGCGGAACTCGTCCCACAAGAACAGCACCATCTCATCTTGGTATAGGTCAGGTTTTTCGAGGAGATGATCGCAAAGCGCGTTGAGCATTGATGGAGTGATACTTCGGCGGCGGCCAACCCCATTAGGAGGGGCTCTTGCATCCCCAAAGCAATGCAAATTCGAGCGGATTGTTCGTACCGACCGTGGGCTGCAGTCAGCGATCTTGGCTATCTGGGAGGTGGTCAGCGGTGGGCTGCAGATTAGTGCATCGCGAATGAGATTGAGTTGTGAGACGGCGAGTCTGGGAGCCATGTTCTTTAGTGGTGTTGAACATGGTGATAAGATCTTCCAGACATTCAGTATGTAAAGATTGGGTGGCTCAGTCCAGCACGGTCCAGCTGGCCTCACGGAATTTTCACGGGCCGAAAAAAGGGGTCGGTGATTTCTGAGGTGAGATCAGCGACGAACCAGTAACTAGGAAAGCCCAAAACTAGAGAAAGTCTCATTGGGCGACATTGTCCCGCTGCGGCCCGTTACCACAGCGGGTCGAGAACACATAGCGAAAAGTTGATGATTATTACTGTACTGTAACAAGAGAACACAGGAAATCAGCCACAGAAATCGAAAATAATGATTCATGATCGCGAATTTCGTGGTTGCATATCGCGACCTCTAGAGTCAGCTCGAAGTGGTTAGCACGAATCTGATCCCTGGTTGCAAGTGAGCTTGGTGCGGAGGAACGAAAATCATTGGACTTTACAAAGATATGAAGCAGGCAAGGCGCCCATCAAGGCATGCTCTGGATATATCGATTTGGAGACGAGACCGTCTGTGACCGTGGCAAAGACTGGCGAACAGGGCTGCGGGCCGCTCGCTGGATGCGCGGATCAACCCCGGCGGCGCGTAATATTCGGGATGATTGGTCGAAGCATTGAGATCCGGCAGCCTTGTCAGGACTCACAGCCCGCGCGATGAATACCCCACCTCAGCACCCTCAGCTGCGCTGGCAGCGAGGGATATATTCTTGGAGAGAAGATTAACCATTTCACTTCCTGCTACTTTCCTAGTGGACAGTGGGATTAAATCAACCAGAGTGAGAAACCACTCGACCATGGAACAAGCAGCGACTGTCCACGGCGGAGAGCCGAACCCGTTGGACAGTACCGGTCTGTGCCTGCTGTCCCTCGACGGCGGCGGCGTGCGCGGGCTGTCGACCCTCTACATCCTCAAAGGCTTGATGGATCGTCTAAACCAGAAAAGACCGAACGGTACTCCGAAAAAGAAGCCATGCGAGGTGTTTGATCTGATCGGAGGAACCAGCACAGGTGGGTGCGTTGATTCAGTCTGTGTTCCGAAAATAAACGGCTGACAGATGTAGATTGATCGCAATCATGCTGGGTCGTCTAGAAATGGATGTGGATGAGTGCATCGCGGCATATATCCAATTAATGAAAAAGATCTTCGAGAAGCCCTCCAAATGGAACCTTGCTGCAAGCCTGTTTGGCAATATCGAGCCGCGATTCGATGCCAGCAAGCTTGAAGACGCAATCAATCAAGTCATCAGCAGATGTGGAGCCAACCCGACTGATCTCTTTAATAACCAGGCCGAGCGGGGCTGTCGAGTGTAAGTCTATACACTTAAAGCATCATGACCATGCTAACATCTTCAGATTTGTCTGCAGCATCACACAGGAAACCAAGGAGATCGTCCGCCTTCGCAGCTACCCAGAACCTGGCAAGCTGGATATTCCCGCCACAATCTGCCAGGCCGCCCGTGCCACCTCAGCTGCCACAACCTTCTTTGAGCCGGTATCGATCGGGGCGCGGAGATTCGCGGACGGTGCGCTTGGGGCTAACAACCCAGTTGATGAGGTAGAGGGCGAAGCGTCAGATACCTGGTGTCCCGAAACCGGCGACCTGAAGCCACTGGTGAAATGTTTCGTCTCAATTGGAACTGGAAACCCAGGGAAGAAGGCTATGGAGGATAATCTGCTCAAATTCATGTCCAAAACTCTGCCAGAACTGACCACCCAGACTGAACAGACAGAGAAGCGATTCATTGCCAAATGGCGACAGCATTATGACGGCAAACGGTATTTTCGATTTAATGTAGAACAGGGGCTGCAGGAGGTCGGGCTGGCAGAATATCAGGAGCAGGGCCTGATTGAGGCGGCGACGGAGGGGTATCTTGACCACCAGGCGGTGGTGTTTCAGGTGCGGAATTGTATTCGGAACTTAGAGTCAAAGCAGAGTGTGTCTATAGAGAACTTTTCGTAATCTATTGTCCTTCTGCTGATTATTATCAATTAATATAGACGGAACCGACACCCAGTTTGCTATAGTGATTCAAGTTAGTGCTCCGCTACCTGATCGATGATATGATATTGACTCAGCTTATACAGGAGTATCAAAGAAAGTTGATGCTTTTGGAGCAATGTATGACGGTAGTCTGTATACTTGATCTCTATAGCTAGTGCTAACTGATGTTTAGGGCGTGGCCGTGCGCGGTGGCATGTGCCGTTTGATCGAAACCCCAAATTTACGGGCCGTGAGAAACTGCTGAACGACTTAGAACGGAGATTGCAACAGCACAACCACACCACAAAGATTGCAGTCATTGGCCTTGGTGGTGTGGGCAAGACACAGTTAGTCCTGGAGCTTGCCCACCGTGTGCGAGAACAGTGCGCAGTTTTTTGGATTCCAGTTAACAGTCTGGCTAACCTTCAGACAGCGTATCGGGAGATAGCGGAGAAGCTGCGCCTCCCGGGCTGCAAGGAGAATAGTACTCAGATCCTCGAATTAGTACAAACATACCTTAGTGATGAGAGCATTGGCCCATGGCTGCTGGTATTGGACAATGCTGACGATGTTGACCTGTGGACATCTCCCGTTTCCCCAGACTCAGGATCGAAGTGCCTAGTTGATTTTCTGCCAAGAAGCACACAGGGGTCAATCATCTTCACCACCCGCAATCGGAAGGTGACCAATGACCTGGTGCAGGATATAGTGGAGGTGCCGGAGATGGACAAATCAGAGGCCACTCATCTACTGAAAACCACCGTGGCCACTAAAGAGCTTGTTGAACCAGATTACCAAATGGTGCCGATCCTTCTTGAGAAGTTGACTTACCTCCCGCTGGCCATTGTCCAAGCGGCGTCCTATATCAGAAAAAACAGAGTGTCCTTCTCCGCATACAACGCTCTGTTGATGGACCTGGAAGACGAAGTCATGGACCTCTTGGGTGAAGAGTACCGCGATGATGGAAGATATCGTGATATCAGCAACGCAGTTGCAAAAACATGGATTATTTCCTTCCAGCAGATATGTCGCGATGATCCTCTGGCGGCAGAGTATCTGTCATTGATGGCTTGTGTGGACCCCAGGGATATCCCGCACGCAATACTGGTGGAGGGACCGTTGCGAAGGAAGGAGACGAATGCCATTGGTACACTGGACGCCCACTCCTTTATTAAGAAGCACAGTGATTCCACAACATTTGACATGCATCGGTTGGTCCATCTTGCCACACGGGGGTGGCTTAAAGGACAGGAAAGGCTGTCTGACTGGCAGAGCAAAGCCGTGACACGACTTGGAAAGCTACTGGCAAACACTGACCAAACTAACCGGACACAATGGAGGGTATACATACCACACGCACAATTTGCAGTTGCAGATCATACTAAGGGGGATAATGAGATTATCAATCTTGTACAAAGGTGTGGGGCCTGCCTGGACTATGATGGCCGATACGGTGAAGCGGAGACAATGTATTGGAAGGCTCTAAAGTATAAGGAGAAGGTGGTGGGGCCAGAGCATCCAAATACACTTGCCAGCGTCAACAACCTTGGTTCAGTCCTTGAGAGGCAGGGCAGGTATGAAGAGGCTGAAGCCATGCACCGACGAGCCTTGGAAGGATATAAGAAGGTACTAGGGCCAGAGCATCCATCTACACTCACCAGTGTCAGCAACCTTAGTTCGGTCCTTTCTAGGCAGGGCAAGTATGAAGAGGCTGAAGCCACGCACCGACGAGCCTTAGAAGGATCAGAGAAGGTACTAGGGCCAGAGCATCCAGACACACTCACGAGCGTCAACAACCTTGGTTCAGTCCTTTCCAGCCAGGGCAAGTATGAAGAGGCTAAAGCCATGCACCGACGAGGCTTAGAAGGTTATGAGAAGGTGCTAGGGCCAGAGCATCCATCTACACTCACCAGCGTCAACAACCTTGGTTTAATCCTCTCTAGCCAGGGCAAGTATGAAGAGGCTGAAGCCATGCA